GTAATGCTTTTGCATCTTTTGCATTTAGGCATCTGTCCCTCATCTTACTTTTGTAAATCTCTATTTTTTCCATTTCCATTGCGATGGAAGGTGAGTGCCCCGTTCTAACAATCTTGGCTTCATCCCATTTGATTACTGCTCCTTCTGACTGTGCCATACTTGTTAATATTGTGCTATTGAGTTTTTTATTTACACTATATTTGTGCTCCTTTAATCGTACTTTAAGGTTCCTTCTGGTTACTCCTATATACTCTTTGTCAATGAGCACGGATTGAAGCTAAAATTAGAACAAAAAAGTCAAAAGAACATCCATTTCTTGAATATTAACATGGAATTCAAACTAGGAAACATACAAACGAATGTATATTTGAAACCAACACACGCTCCTTTATACATACCTGCATGGTCAAAAGACCCGTATAAATATAAATTATCTGCGTTTAAGGCACTGATCAAAAGGGCCTTCTTGTACTGCACCAATGTACAAGACCAGAATAAGGAAATTGATAGAATTCAACAGGTAGCAAGGAGTTTAGGATACAGAAAGTCCACAATCAAAGGCCTTGTAAAGAGCTACGATAAACAAAAAGCTACAAATGCAAAACATAACAACAATACGACATTCAACAAGCTCACATACAATGAACAAACAAGAAAGGTAGTGAAGGAGTTAGGAAAATACAAAAACACAAAGATAATCTATAAATGAGCACTCAATATTTATAGATTATTAAGAAACGACAAGGACAAAATTAAGTTGGAAGAACAACTGTGTGTGTACAGTATCCCCTTTGAGAACCAGCAATTAGGTATTGACAAAGAGTATATAGGAGTAACCAGAAGGAACCTTAAAGTACGAGTAAAGGAGCACAAATATAGTGTAAATAAAAAACTCAATAGCACAATATTAGCAAGTATGGCACAGTCAGAAGGAGCAGTAATCAAATGGGATGAAGCCAAGATTGTTAGAACGGGGCACTCACCTTCCATCGCAATGGAAATGGAAAAAATAGAGATTTACAAAAGTAAGATGAGGGACAGATGCCTAAATGCAAAAGATGCAAAAGCATTACCAACGGCTTGGAAATATAAAATTGAAAAAAGTATGGGTTTTAATAATCCATAAACATTTTTATGATCTGGAGTTTTTAGGAATTAGTAGTTCAGTCTCAGTTAAAG